ATGTGTGATCAATGGTCTTCAGCCAAAGACCACCAGAAACACACTTATAGTTGAACAAGTTAGGGTTATAACTTTTTGCAGTGAGAAAGAAGGGATAATATGGAGAATTATAGAACTTTACAGTAAGGGGGTGTTAGTAAGGACTTTGCTTAGGTGATCTGAAGGAGGGTCAAGCATTCTGGACACAGGCCCTAGCAAAGTTTTCATGACAAAGATGCCAAAAGCAATTTCAACAAAAATTGACAAATGGGATTTAATTAAACCAGAGAGCTTCTGCACAGTAAAAGAAACTATCAACAGAGTAAACAGTCCACTCTGTGAGAATGAGAGTAAATATTTGCAAACTACGTATGTGACAAAGGTCTAATATCCAGTATCTTTAAGGAACTTAAACAAATTAACAGGCAAAAAGCAAACAACCTCATTAAAAAAGTGGGCAATGAACAGAACTTTTCAAAAGAAGACATATTCCTGGCCAATGAGCATATGAAAAAAATACTCAACACCATGAATCATTAGAAAAGTGGAAATCAAAACCACAATGAGATACTATTTTACACCAGTAAGAATGACTATTACTAAAAAGTCAAAAAATAGCAGATGCTGCCAAGGTTGTGGCGAAAAGGAACTCTTATACTCTGCTGTTAGGAATGTAAATTAGTTCAGCCATTCTGGAAAGCAGTGTGGCGATTTCTCAAAGAACTCAAAACAGAATTATCATTCAACTGAGCAATTCCATTACTGAGTACATAACCAAAGGAATATAATCAACCTATCATAAAGACACATGCATGCATATGTCCATCATAGCACTGTTCATAATAGCAAGGACATGGAATCAACCTAAATGCTCATTAGTGGTAGACTGGATAAAGAAAATGTGGTACATATACTCCATGGAAAATTATGCAGACATAAAAAGGAATGAGACCATTTCCTTTGCAGCAACATGGAAGAACTTGGAGGCCATCATCCTAAGTTAATTAATCCAAGAATAGAAAATGAAATATCATATGTTCTCATTTACAGGTGAGAGCTAAACATTGAGCACAAAGAAGGGAAGAACAGACACTGGGGCCTACTTGAGAGTGGACGGTAGGAGGAGGGAGAAGATCAAAAAACTATCTTTGAGGTACTATTCTTATTACCTGTATGATAAAACAATCCACATACCAAACCCCTGTGACACACAATTACCGATATAACAAACCTGCACATGTACCTGTGAACCTAAAATAAACCTTAAAAAGTAATAATGTTAAAAACGCAAATGAAAATATGAGTAACTTTTGACTTGAAATTATACTTTTGGCAAATTATCCTCAGGAAAACCATAGCATTTTTAAAAATAGCCAAATAAAATTTCAAAAACAAACTAAAAATCCAATAATAGAGCTACTGGTTAAATACCTAACAGAAGAGTCATTCTGTGAAACCACTACCTATTTATGATGGAGTTTAGAATATGCTACCTCATATAGCACCTTGGTATTTGAAGGAACAGCAGAAGCAAGAGGGTCACTTGCACCCCTTTTCCCACTCTGCTCCCCTGCAGCAGGCTGCAAAACTTACCTGACTTTCCTTCAAAGTGAGTAATAAGGCTCTCATTCCAAAAGGATCCTCTCTATACTTGGAGGAAAGGAATGTTCTCATGTCTGAAGGCACAGAGATGCCAAACAGAATCTGAACAAACGTGTCTTGCTGTTTCCCCCAGTTTTTTACTAGATTATACCCTTTTGTTCTCCAATCATAGTTCTCCGTGGCTGACCAGAAAATACACAGATTTTTCTCGTTTATTTGGGTCTTCATTCCAAAAGGCATGAATGTGATTTTAATGTCATGTAAAACTTACATTAAATAAGTGTATATGTTTTTCTCTTGTTAACATGCCTAAAAGGTCTCAACTATGTACCTGGCAATGGGTGAGGAAAGAAGATATTGCTTTTCCAAATATGTGTGTGTGTGTGTATGTGTGTGTGTGTGAATGTGTACCAGATAAAAATTGAAAATATATACAGTAAAATGATAATGATAATCATCTGAATAGTAAGATGATTGTTGATGTTTACATTCTCCTTTATATACGAATTTTTCAAATTTTTCTGTTACAAATATATGTAAGACATGAAGACATCTTCCTCCAAAAAGAGTGCTCAGAAGCAATAAGTAATATGGGGAATAAATACAAAGAAAAAATCGTGTTCACTTTATTGACAATTTTATAAAAACCATTTCATTTTGAATTTGAGAGAATTACAGAGTTGACAAATCAGAGTACCCATTTCATATGGAATGTCATAAAGACTAAAAAAATGGGTAAAAAGCTTGATAGTGCCTGATACATAGTAGTAGAGTAGGCACCCAATCAATGAGCTCCAGTTGAACATTTTAGATGAGGATGACAATATCCACATTCTAGTGGGCAGGCTTTGGATTCCAGCTGCCTTCAGCATGTCCTTCAGCCTCTCTCAGCCTCAGTTTCCACATCTATAAATTAGGAGTAGGAAATATCTACATGTAGTTTGTCAGATACTTAAGAATTAAATTTTATAATGTATTCAAAGACTAATCCCTAAGGCTGAATGACTAAATAAAGTCTCGGAGAGAGCAAACCTGTACACCCCTGACAAAAAGCATGGTTGGGGGATGAAGACTGAGTGTAGTTGGGGTACACAGAATTAAGGGAGATGTTTTTAAGACAGGAGAAATTGATTACATGCATTCATTTTTTGAAGGAGACAGCAAAGAGCAAGAAAAGGAAGCCAAGAAAAAAAAAAAAAAAGGTAATTTGTGAAACAATATCCTTGATGAAATGGGAGTGGATGGAAATTAAAGCATAAGAAAGGTATTTACCTAAGTCATCTTTCCCTGTGATACAGGCGGTAAGGATGGGTATCAATATGGAAGACCCAAATATTTGGGAAAAGATTTTCACGGAGTATCCCATCTTGAGTAAGCTTCCACCTAAAACTCGTAGAACATTCATTTTTGACCCACATATTTATAAGCATCTGCCATCATTATTATTGTCACTTCCTGTTATCCATGATATATTAGAAAAGTATCCATATCCTTTTAGAAAGCATTTTTCTAAAAGGAAACTTAGAAAGATACTTCATGAAGCGGAAAAAAAAAAAAAAAAAAAGGAAAGAAAGAAAGAAGGTCTTTGCTTGAGTAGTGCCTTATCCAAACACCTTACCCCAAAGTTATTTATATGTTCCAGCTACCTTCACACAATTAAGTCTCAGTAATTTGAATTCCCACTTCATATAAATACTGTTTAACACAAGGTATGTGCTTGTTCCCTGAACACTTTGAATTAACATCTTGAACACTAATTTTTTTAAGTTCCATAAAAGAAACATTTTTAAGGTGTTTTTGGCAGGTGCTTTGGCTAGCTTCACTGAATCTATTCATTAATACAAGACAGCATTTTACACTGGTTGCAGACAAAACTGAAGGTAAACCTTACTGGGTAAATATTCCTGTTTACTTGTCATAGTAAATTATTTTATTTATGGTTCAACTAGTTCACTATACACAATAGCTTTGTGTGGTAAATTAATAAATAACACATAAGAGCCAGGATAGATGGCAGGTAATGTGTTAATGACAATATAACACTGTGAATTCTTAAAGTGAATTATAATATAATCTAAGTATCTAGTGGCAATTATCATTTTCATCACCATCATCATTTTACTTTTATGTAGAATACAAGTTTCTTCTAGAAAATGCATATGAACATACTTCATATCTAGTAACTACTTTGGTATGTCCCCTATATGTCAAGGTTCTCCAGAGAAGCAGAACCAATAAGATGTGTATATGTTTGTGTGTGTGTGTGACAGTGTGTGTGTGGTGTGTGTGTGGTTTAGATCAGTGTTCTCTCCAGGCCTTCAACTGATTGAATAAGGCCCATGTACATTACAAAGAGCAATGTGCTTTACTCAAAATCCACAGATTTAAATGTTGCTATTATGCAGAAACACTCTCACAAAAGCATCCGGAATAAGGTTTGATCATATATTCGGGCTAAATGGCCCAGTCTCTACAATTCTCCTTAAATGTAATCAATTTTAGTGCAACAGTAAATTTGAACTTGATTTATATCCACCTGTGAGAAAGAGCTGAGTGAAATAAGTCACTAACAGAAAAGAACATGCCAAAAAAACTGTCAGGTACCCATCCCTGTCTCAATCACATCTGCTATGCCTAACAGATAAATCATGTGCAAGCCATGCTACCCCTGCCTGCTATTGATCTCAGCTTCACTCTCCAATGTCCACTCCTACTACGGAAAGACACACAATATTAGTTCACCTTCAGCCTTCAAAAATGCAGCAGGTAGTATTCTATCATATATTTATTTCTTCCATCTTCTCCCCTCCCCTCTTCTCTCTTCCTCTCCCTTCTTCTTGTTTGTGGTCTCCAAACTCACTTTGCCTATGCCTGAGAGTGAAAAACCCTTGCATTGCTTGCCACCACTGTCTTTGGTGACATATATTTGACATCTAATGCCTTACACAGTTGGGAGTAGGGTAAGGAAAACTAGCCTAGTCTGGCAAGGCAATAATAGTACCAAACTCATGACAATTTCTAGACAGGAGAATGCAGACAGTAAAATTTATATTTTTTACTTAATGAACAAGTACATTAACAAACATATCAATTTTAAAAAATATTTAATTAAAAAATTAGGCCACCTAGAGTAATTCAAATGAATAGGATATATACCTTGCATTTTTATGACATACATTTTATATAGAGTATTAGCAATGGCTTAAACAAGATAGACATTTATTCTCACATGAATTAAAGGCCCAAGCTAATATGGTAGCTGTGCTATACAAAATAATCAGAGTCAGCCTTCTTTTATCCAATGGTTTGCTCATCATGATTTTTAAATGGCTTACTACCACCTATCCAAATTCTGGATAATAGTAAAAAGGTAAAAGAGGAAGAAGCAGTATTTTCCTTTCCTTTAAGGTATTACATACAAGTGGCAGAGATTATGTCTTCCGACATCCTGTTGTCCAGTACACAAATTCACTTAGCTTGAAGGGAGACTGGGAACTATCTTCTTTAGTCCAGATGGCCTTTTGAGAAACTACATGAAAGGAGAAAAGAGAAGATGGGACATACATATGCAGCAGTATTGATCACATACCTAAACTTCAGTTTAATAATTATGTAGATGTATACATGTATACATGTGTACATGTGTACGTATACCTATGTAAATATTTAGAGGAAGAAGTAGGTAATGTTATTTATCAGTTAAAATTACTTAAAATTGTGACCATCCATCTGTTAACATGGTGATTTAATTTAACTCTGTGAATAAGACATTCTGGATTCATTTTGATTAAGGAAATTTCTCTTTGGATACAAAATAAACTGAGATTGATTCATTAGTTACATGAATAAAAAAATCTCTTCATAGATGAGTATCAGTTCTTGCCACAGTCATTCTTGTAACAAACCACCCTGCAACTGAGAAGCAAAAAATAACCACCATTGATTCTCCCTCATAAATCTGTGTGCTTACGAGAGGCTGGCTGATTTAGGCTGAGTTTTGCTCCAAATTATAAGTTAGATCCGGCCGGGCACGGTGGCTCAAACCTGTAATCCCAGCACTTTGGGAGGCCGAGACGGGCGGATCACGAGGTCAGGAGATCGAGACCATCCTGGCTAACACAGTGAAACCCCGTCTCTACTAAAAAATACAAAAAAAAACTAGCCGGGCGAGGTGGCGGGCGCCTGTAGTCCCAGCTACTTGGGAGGCTGAGGCAGGAGAATGGCGTAAATCTGGGAGGCAGAGCTTGCAGTGAGCTGAGACCCGGCCACTGCACTCCAGCCTGGGCGACAGGGCGAGACTCCATCTCAAAAATAAATAAATAAATAAATAAATAAATAAGTTAGATCTCAGTTCTCTTGGTGTGTTTTTCTTGGACCAGTTGGACTAATCGGTTACCCAGGACATGTTTTGCACATGACAATAACAAGTCCGAGGGTAGGCTCAACTGTTGCGTTATTTTTCAGGCTTGTACTTGTGTCATGTCTGCTAATAGTCCATGGGCCATTGCAAGGCATATGTCTAAGTCCAAAATTAAGGGCTGAAATACTTCCTCTACCTTGACACATGACAAAGGTGTAGACATATGTTACTATTACAAGGAAGTAAAAACTGGGACAAGTCAGTCAATTGACTATAAGATCTTATTGAATCATTTCAGTGTGAATGTAATTTCACTTTGCATATTAGACTTAGTCCCTAAAATTAATTAATTTATTTGATACTTATTTAGCTACTATGGTATCAAGGCAGAGATGTTTTTTCCAAAATTTTTGAGATATTTCCAGCTGCATAGAAAGTTAGTCTGGTGAAAGATTACAACAAAGTAAAAAGCAATCTTAGTATATTGTGGTAAAATCAGTGATAAAGCTATGGAGAGAATAATTACAAAGATATGAGAAGAGGCATCTATTCCAGCCTAGAAAAAAAAAGAAAGAAAATCCAGAAGATTTTCTGAAAGGAATATTTTTAAAATGTCTCTAATTTTTGCTGGGGTGGGTTGGCATCACACTTTTGCCATTCTTCTTATGGAGCCAACAGCTGGCCAAGATTATTATTCTCGTGGTAATGGCAAACAGCTGGAGGGTAAGGATGCATTCACAAAAACACATTGTGTCTTATCTTCTAAAATCTTATTGGCTAAAGCAAGTCACATGATTGAGCTCAACATCAAAGTGTAATGAAGGAAGAGTATTTTCTTGTGTGTATGGGTGGAATTAAAAGGTTATATGGCAAATAATTTCACAAAGGGGTTAAAGCAAATAATTCAATCCACCATACAGGTGAAAAAATCACCAAAAACCTAATTTTCTATAAATATTGAACTATTTATTTACATTTCCAGTACATATATGCATATGTATATACATATATGTATACATATGTGTCATGTATACACAGGTTGGACATCCCTCATTCAAAGATTCAAAATCTCAAATGGTCCACAAATCAAAATTTTTGAGCGTCGACATGAGGCCACAAGTAAAAAACTTCACACTTGACTTCATGTGACATGTTACAGTCAAAACACAGTCATACAACACAAAGTTTATTCATCATCCCCAGGGGAGCAAATACTCTCCCAATTCCCTTCAGCCATGATATATCTTTTCTGTACATGCCCAGATTTCCTTATGCATGCATACCCACAAACAGTAATAAAATGGGAGGTGCCAACAGCAGGTTCCCATGATGCTCCACATGGGGCCAAGACTTACAAGCATTATTTACTGTGATCTTCTTTATTGTTTATAATTCTCTTCTAAGTGAAAATACTACTCAAATGTCAAAAAGACCCGTGGATAGACACATTGGTAGCAGTGATCCAAAAAAAAAAAAAAAAAAAGAGGAAGCATTTATGTTTCTCTATAGCACAGAAAATCAAGCTGTTAGAGAAATCAGATGGTGCTGGAAGTGTGAATATTCTTACAGAAGAGTATGGTATAGTAAGGATAACCATATATGACCTGAAGAGATAAAATAATAAATGCTTGAAGTTATGTGCTGAAAGTAGTGAACAGCAGCTAATAAAAAATAGAAAAGCACTGAATAAAGCTAAAAAATGAAGATTTCAGTTGTGTATTGAAATAGTGCATCTATCAGCATCACAGTGAACACAGGCCGCTTAATGTTATGCTGATCAAGAAACATGCAAAAATTCATTACGATTACCTGAAAATTGAAGAGAACTGTGAATATGCAAGAGGCTGGTTGAATAAATTTAAGAAAATATATGACATTACATTTTTAAAGATTTCTAGAGATAAACTCTCTGTTGATCACAAAACAGCAAAGAAATTCAATTCATTAATAAGGTTGCCAAGGTCACTGCTGATGAAAATCTAATGCCAGAACATGTCTAGAATGCTCAGGAAACAACCCTGTTCTAACATTATTACCCCAGAAAGATGGTGGCACCAACTGATGAGACGGCCCCTATAGGAATTCAGGATGCCAAGGACAGAATAACTGCTAGGGTGTGCTATTATAGCAGATGTGCATATAGGTAGACTTGCGTGATAGGCAAAAGCTTTTGTCCTCGCTGCTTTCAAGGAGTGAATTTCTTGCCAGTCCATTATTATGCTAACAAAAATGCATAGATCAACAGAAATATCTTTTCTGATTGGTTTCACAAACATTTTGTACTAGTGGTTCATGCTCACTGTAGGGATGCTGGACTAAATGGCAACTGCAAGATTTTGCTATTCCTTGACAATTGTTCTGCTCATCCTCCAGCTAAAACTTTCATCAAAATAATATTCATGTCATGTATTTTCTTTCAAAGGTGACTTCATTAATTCAGCCATGACACCAGGGTCTACATAGATCAATGAACAGTAAATGCAAAAGCACTTTCTTGAACAACATGCTAGCAGCAGTGAAAAGAGGGCTGGAAAAGTTTTTGATAGGCTTTAGCATGAAGGATGTCTTATATTCTGTTGCTAATGCTTGGAAAATAGTAACTAAAGACAGTTGTGCATGCCAGGCACAACCTCTGGCCTGTGACTACGTTCAATGACGATCATGAACTAGGTGGTGACTTTGAAGTACTTCCATGTCACGTGAAAAAGAAAATCTAACTTCCTTACATATGCAAAAAAATACAGCATCAGAGTCTGACAGTAAGCTGGAAGAAGTGGATATTGAAGATATTTTGAACACTGATAAAGTGGCTCCAATTGTTTATTGATTGACTGATGGTGAAGTAGCCAAAACGATTCTGAATCAAGGTGATCATGATAATAGTAACAATGAAGATAAGGTTAACACTACAGAAAAAGTACCTACAGACATCATTATAAAAATGTGTATGGGCTTGTTGAAGGACTAGAGAAGCATACAGTCATAACAGAAAAAAAAATGATGTCAGTTTATAAAATAAAAACGGGATATCTAAAGCAAAAAACACTGTTAATGAGGCAGATGTGTCTGAAGAAAAAGCCCTCATCCCAAAGACTCACTTCTTGGTCTCTCATCTGCTTCTAATATTTTTTCTCAACTTAGAAAAAATACAGTATACAGTAACCTATTAATCAAAATGCAGAATTGTCGGTAGAGACTGAAAGCCTGCAATTGTTTGTTGTTGCTGTTGTTTAATAGCTGATACAGGTATTCTGCTGATGCTACTGTGCTCCTTAGTTACCTTGAACATATTACTTTTTTTTTTCTTTACTGTATTAATGGTATGCCTTTATTTTTTACTATTAAGTATCTATGTGAAAATAAGTGTAAGAAAACAATTGTTTATTGGTAGCACATAAATTCAGAGTCAAGGATAATCGTGATGGCAACCAACCACAGATTGTCCACATGGGTGACTGAGATAGTGACACCTTTGTTTTCTGATGGCACAGTGTATATAAAGTTTACGCACAAAACTATTAAAAATATTATATAAAATTGCTCTCAGTTATATGTATAAAGTATATATGAAATATAAATAAATGTTATAAACTTTGGTCCCATCCCCAGGAGGCTTCATTATGTATATACAAATATTACCAAATCAGAAAATAATCTAAAATCTGAAACACTTCTGGCCCCAAACATTTTGGATAAGAGATACTCAACTTGTGTGTGTATATATATACACATATCTTATATACTCCAAACCAGTGAGGTAGATACATATCTATTTTGTATCTATAACAGTGTAAGTACACAAGAGAAAAGAAATTAAGATAGCAGGTAACAGTGGACAAAAGTAGTACTTGATTCGTGAGTATTTACTTTTCTGATATGTACTTTTAACATGAAAGAAAAAATACAACACATGAATATACTTAAAGCACACTTGGACAGGGTAAATTAAGATGCAAATTGTTTTTTTTTTGTTTCACCATCTTTTGTACTAACTCTGTGTTTATTTAGAATTTTCTAATTGGAAAAGCCCTAATGAGATGATTCTCAGGCTCTCTTTGGTTTTTACTTAGCAGAAGTGAAGATTTTCAATAATTTTTTGTCTTCTTCTTCTTTTATTCAGATGTTCTTGATTCTAATGACTGTAGTTCTAATTAGTTCTAGTTGAAGAC